ATACGTGTACTAGATAACTGGGTCTTCAGACGACGAGGGAAGTGTTTGAATATTTTAAACCATTTTGCAGCTTTTGTTCCAAGCTCTTAAAAACAGTTCAATCAACCAAAAAAATGTGAGAAGTATCGTAAAAAAAAGTACCATTGTCTTCTGTCTTCGTTGAAATCAAAATATAACAAAAACTAATTCTAAATACGTCGAATAATTTTCCACTATTAGTGGACAATTAGTGATACAGTCCTTTTCGGAGTATTTAACAAACACGAACAGTTATTGAAAAAATTTGAATTCAACATGGGTTTGAGTGGTCAGTTCAAGATCTTGTCGCTTGTTTCTCATGTTCTAAGCCTTTGAAAACAGTTCAGTCGACCAAAAAAGCACTATCGTCTTGTTTTTCCTCATTTGTGGGTATCGAATGTCACAGAATTCCTTGTAAATCCTTGCATTGACTAAGTAACGAACTTTAAAAGCCCCATTGTATTAAATATTTGTTAGTAGTACAGTTTATTTAAATAATAATGTCTTTATCAAAATCAAAATATAGCATAAATTAACTCAAAATACGTCGTATGATTATAGTAGCACTATTAATGGATAATTCGATTACTTAGGAACATATTTCACATGATAATTTCTCGTAGAAAAATAAGGATTTTACAATTTTAAGTTGCTCCGTCCCTCGGCTTACGACGAATAAAAAAAAACATCCGAATTGAGAAAGGGCGGGTGGGGGGGGGGCTTATATTTTGTTTTGTTTTGTTTTTTTTTCCTTAATATACATAGCCATCTTTTTACAACAAGAAACTTAAAACATGGTTAAAATGATACATTTTTGCAAGGAAATATGGATTTCGCAATTATGGGGCAGAGGTTAATTGCAAAATCGATATTTCCTTATGCAAATTTTCCATTTTACACATGTTTTAAATTTCATGTTGTGAAAAGAAGTTTACACATATTAAAACAAAAAGACAGAATATAAGCCTGCCCGCCCACCCTATCTCAATTGTGATGATTATTTTTTTATTCACCGTGAACCAAGGTGGCGGAGCTTAACTCCAAAATACTTATTACTTTACAAGAAATTAAAAAAAAAACATTTTTTTGAGTATCGTGTTGTTCAATGAATACGATGTATATTAAGAAAAAAAGGCAAAATATTAACCCCGCCCACCCACCCCATCTCAATTGTGATGTTTTTTTTTATTCTGAGAAACTTAAAGCATGTTTAAAATGGTCAATTTTTGTAACAAAATATGGATTTTGCAATTATGCTCCGCCTTTCGATCTGGCAACGAATGAGAAATTCATCAAAATTGAGATTGGGGCGGGGATAGGTGGGGCTTAACCTTTGGTTTCCTTTTTTACTCAATACTTACAGTTTTCTTTGAACAAGACGATTCCTTAAGAACATATTTTACATGGCAATTTCTTAAGGACTCTGCAATTAAACTCCGTCCTCCGGCTCAAGACGAATACAAAAATATCGTCAGAATTGAGCAAGGGCGGGTGGGCGGGGCTTACATTTTGCCTTTTTCGTAATATACGTAGTCTTCTTTCCAGAACAAGAAACTTAAAGCATGTTTACAATGGTAAATTCTTGTATACAAATATGGACTCTTGCAATTAAGCCCCTCCCCTCGATCTGACAACGAATGAAAAATTCCTCACAATTGAGAATTGAGATCAGGGCGGGTGTGGATGGGGCCTAATCTTGGCTTTATTTTTTTCTTAATATACATTTGAACAAAAATACAGATTTTGCAGTTAATCTCCGCCCCCTTGGCTCACGACGAATTAAAAAAATCTTTCCAATTAAGATAGAGCGGGTGGGCGGGCTTACATTTTGTCTTTTTGTTTTAACATGTGTAGACTATTTCGACAAGAAATTTAAAACATGTCTAAAGTGGTAAATTTTTGTAGTAATCAACGAACAGCCTAGCAAAAACCTTTCTGAGTAGGCCGATAACTTACGCTACAGTAATTATTAGCGTTCTCGGCTAAGTTTTATATTTTGTGACAACGAATTCGATTTTATACATGTCCTCCGGAAAAATGAATGCTATTGTGTCGATTATTATATTTGAGACTGGTAGATTTAGAGTTATATAATTGTTAATTGTTAAAATTTCACTGGGTCAATGTCATCGGAATATAGCTTCCAAAAATTCAAACCTGTCTGATAAAATTTGTTTTCGTGTTTGACTACTTCGTATAGATTTCGCTTCCTTGTGGCCGTTTACTTCCTTTCTTTGTCTACAATTTTAATTAACGTTGTATACTTTGTATTTTTTATTCCTGCGCAAAATCAACTTGAACAGAACCCGAACTTCATATATTTAATGTATTTAAGTCAAGAAAATCGTCAACTGTGCTTTATAACAGGCGCTCAAAAAGAAATTAATGAAAAAAAATGCGCCCTCACGTGCACTAGATAACGGGGTCTTCAGACGACAAGGGAAGTGTTTGAACATTTTAAACCATTTTGCAGCTTTTCTCATGTTCTAACCTCTTGAAAACAGTTCAATCAACCAAAAAAATGTGACAGAAATATCGTAAAAAAAGTACCATTGTCTTGCTTTTTTTCGTCATTTTTATGTGTTAAACGTCAGGGAATCGCTTGAAAATTCTCACATTACCGAAGTAACGTTTTTTGAAGACCTCTGTCATTAAATATTTTAGTAGTACAATTTATTAAGTAATAATGTCTTTGTTGAAATCCAAATATAGCATAAATTAATTCTAAATACGTTGAATATATATATTTTTTTTAATTAATGATAGAGTCCTTTTCGGAGCTTTCAACAAAAACAAACAGTTATTGGAAAAATGGGTTTGAATTCAACACGGTTTGAGTGGTCAGTTCAAGGTCTCGCTAGGAGTGTAAAAAGAAACCTACACATATTAAAACAAAAGGCAAAATATAAGCTCGCCCACCCGCCCGATCTTAATTGTGATGATATTTTTTTATTTGCCGTGAACCAAGCTTAACTGCCAAATACTTATTTCTTTACAAGAAATTAAAAACATTTTTTGGGTACCGTGTTGTTAAAAAAATACTATGTATATTAAGAAAAAACGTCAAAATGTTAACCCCGCCCACCCACCCGATCTCAATTGTGCTGATTTTTTTATTCCTAGAAACTTGAAACACATTTAAAATGGTAAATTTTTGTAAGGAAATGTGGATTTTGCAATTAAATTCCGCTCCTTTGGCTGTCGACGAATAAAAAAAATCGTCACAATTGAGATCCGACGGGTAGGTGGGGCTACATTTTCCATTTTTTTTTTTTTAATATGTGTAGACTTATTTCGACAACCAGAAACTTGCGGACCTTGTGGCCATTTCCATCCTTTCTTTGGCTGAAATATAAATTGATGTCGTATACTTGGTATTTTCGTATTAGACGTCTTATTGTTATTTTTTTATTGCTACGCAAATTCGTCTTGAATGGAACCCGAATTCTTGGTCTTCAGACGACGAGGAAGTGTTCGAACATTTTAAACTATTATGCAGCTTTTTTCCTGTTCTAAGTTCTTGAAAACAGTTCAATCAAAAAGAATGTGATAGAAAAATATATAATAAATATTTTAGTATTGCCGTTTATGTACGACTAAACAGTGCATTCCACCTTAATTGTGAAATTAATACTTGTCTAAATCCACTTGATACTTTTTACTCATGTAGAAGATAGTGTCATTAGATATTGTACGTAGAAAAAGATGATTTCCAGGTCATCTTACCAAACAGCGGAATATATTTTTGATTACAGATTATTGTAGTAAGTGATGCGTCATTTTCAATGTAAAAATTTACAGGTATTTTAACTGTGTCAATGTTATCGGAAAACAACTTCCAAAAATTCGAACCTGTCTGATAAAATTTGTTTTCGTGTTTGACTACTTCCTATAAGTGTCGCTTTCTTGTGGCCATTTTCTTCCTGTTATTTCCATACTTAGTGATAATGTTGATATCGAGTTCCGTTTAATCTTTAGCATACATTGATTTTGAGATGAATAAACTAAATAACTGAGCAAATAATAACTCTGATAATATTCATCTTACGACTGACTCATTCCTAGCAAACTTAAACAGTCATGAAATCTCAAGAATTTTAATTATGAAAAATAAGATGCTTTCTTTAACCTTACATACTAACCCAATTATACTAAAAAACATGAAACAAATAGCCTTAAAGTTCGTGTAATTAATGTAAATGACCAATTAGAATAATCTCTTTGTTTCTGTTTAATCTTTATATTTATTTGTTTTCTAAGTGTTTCATTCCCACGATAAATTATGGTTAATTTTACGGGGTTATCTGTGCCCATGAAGCGTGAAGGAGTGTCGAAAATCTTGTAGGCGCAGTGTGTAAACAAACAAATAAAAACTCACCAACACAACCAACTTTTGTAATCAGTTAGAGAATTTTGCAACACAAATGTGACATTGTAGACACGCCATTTTTCCAACTTTGTTGATACGTAGTTATTTTTTTTCTTAAAACTCCATTAAATGTAATTAAAACGCATTAACCGCGATATAACTCATTAGTTTTTCTACGATCTTCCAACCTCCGCTGATAGAAAAACGACCGGTTTATCCTCCATGGGCGAATAATTAATAACCCGATCCCACTTCTCATCTACTTTATTTACGACCAAGTCTGAAAAACAGTAGCAAGAGCAAAATCGACCTCTTGTGGAGAAAGAGCGAGCTTCATTTACCAGACTGACATTATCGATGTAACCATTGACTTTCCTCTGTATTCAGAAATCGTCATTTCTACCGCCTCTAATGACAACACAAAGATCCAACAAACGCTCTTTGTCGCCATAATTGTAATATTAAATCACAAAGCGCTCCAGTCGGCATGTTTCGCGTGCGTAATTTATGAAAATATATTCTAAATGTGCTCCCGGTTGGTAATAATAGCAGCAAACCGGACACAGTAACGTTACACTAGGCTAAAATAACAGAAATTTATGTTGTTTTCCAGGCCTCCATGGATTTGCCGCCCGACAAGGCGAAGCTCCTCAAGAACTACGACTCGGAGAAGAAATGGGACATCATCTGTGATCAGGTAACCGTTGCAGAAAGAAAGTGAAGAAGTTACGTAATGCTGTGACAACGCTTTCTTCACGACACGACGTATTATCTGCGGCATCAATGGGTTTATTATCCACATCCACCCAATCAGCGCTGATTGCACCCAATCATTCAATCACACGGACTCCTCGCGGTAGCAAATTAAATACGGTTTTTTTATTGTATTGCACTCGGATTTTCTTTCAATGTCGTCTTTGTTTGACTTCTTTGTTGTTCTTTCACTTCCACCTGCACCATATATTTAATCTTCTTCTTCTTTTTGTTCTTCTTGTTCATAAATTGAATGATATCATTTCGAAATTTTGCCAAATTAATTTCTGTTTAAACTGTACAACAGAACTACGGCTTTACTTACAAAGTCCAACAATCAGTTGTTTTGAAATATATTTATATTTCCCAAGCTAAGCCAACAAAGTGTTGTAATCGAGTCCATCGGCCGACACCCTACCCTTGTGTTTTCTCGACCTTTCATGACCCCTAGAGTACGAAGAAATAGGTCTCCCGTTTCCATATGTCTGTTTGTCTGCCGTCTTTCGGGATTTTTATTAAATAGATAATTTCAGAAACTACTAGACCAATTCTTGTCAAATTTTATGCACATTAAGACTATCTTGTATGTGGCACGCCAACCAAAAATTGACTGATCATATCCACCAACAATTTGCTGACGTCAGCCCCAAAATTTACACTAGTAAATTTGTTCTTATTTTTATAAAATAAGATACTCCTGCATTTGTAGTGTATGAATCGTGAGTTTTCATCGTAGACATCCAGATTTTATACAGGTGACTCAAAAAAATTAACGCATGAGGCAGTTTCTTGTATTAATTAAATCACTCCATTTTCCCTAAAATTTGGGAATACAGTACTGTTATTATTAGTATTACACTGCCCATATCCAAATTGACATGCGTGTTTTTGATGACGTCATCACGAAATTTTAACATTATATACATATCTTGATTTTAACTTATAGAGGTTATTTTTTCAATTTTTCCATTTTTCAATATTTCGGTTTCATAATTTTTCGTTCCCTCAATTTTTTGCCGAACGTAAGGAAGTATAGTAATTGAGTCCATTGCCACTTCCATATTTTTATTTTTCACGTACCCGATTTTTTAATTTTCATTTTCTTGATTTTATATCACAATTTTTGTTTTTTTCTTTTCTTTCATTTTTTCAATGTTTCTTTCGATTTTATAATTTTTCATTTTAGCAATTTTTGGATTTATCAATTATCAGATTTTCCAATGTCTTTAATTTTTGGTATTTCGATTTTACAATGTTTCGTTTTTTTTTTTGCAATTTAGCACTTTTTCGATTTTTAAGTTTCTCAATTTTTCATATTTCGATTTTTCAATTTTTCAAAGTTTTCATTTTATCTTTTTCGTTTTTTTTTCATTTTCGATTTTTCTATTTTACAATTTTCTCATAAAAAAAAAATCAGGGGCGAGGGAAGTTCTGTCGAAACAATCATTTTTTTAATTTGAAAACTTTAAAAATCGAAGAACGAAAAATTGAAAAGAAGAAAAAACGAATCGAATCGAAAATTTGCAAAAGCCAAAAATTTTAAATTCGAAAAATTAAAAAATCGAATACATGAAAAAGCTTTAATATCCAATAATGAAAAGTGGAAAAAGCGAAAAATTTTAAAAATTATAATGATTGTTTGATTCATATTTAAAATGAAAACTAAAAAAATTGCAAATCAAAAATTGAAGAAACGAAAAATTAAAAGATCTAAAAGCTGAAAAATTGGAGAATGAAACCCAAAAAATAGAAAAATTTCACATTGAAAAAAAGAAAAATTGGAAAATCAGAACATTGAAAACCGAAAAATTGAAAAAATAAGAAAATAGCAAACCGAAACGAAAAATTGTAAATTGACAATTTGAGGAAATAAATTAAAAAATCGAAAAATTATAAAATCGAAAATTGCAAATCAAAAATTGAAGAAATGAAAAATTAAAAGATCTAAAAGCTGAAAAATTGGAAAGTGAAAACCAAAAAATTTAAAAATCCAAAAATTGAAAAATTTTACATTGAAAAAAAGAAAAAATTGGAAAATCAGAACATTGAAAAAATAAGAAAATAGCAAACCGAAACGAAAAATTGTAATATCTGAAAAACCGAAACTAAAAATTGTAAATTGAAAATTTGAGGAAATGAAAAATTAAAAAATCGAAAAATTATAAAATCGAGATATTTGAGGTAACAAAATTAAAAAGCCAAACAGAAATTTGCAAATCGTAACATTGAAAACTTGAGAAATTCCAAACAATTTAAAAATTGAAAAATTCAAAGTTGAAAAACTGAAAAATTTAAACTTGAAAACTCGAAAAATTCCAAACTGAAAAACCGAAGAAACAAAAAAAAAATTAAAAATTGAAGCAATCAGAACTTGGAAAGTCACAAAATTAATGATCAAGACACGAAAAATAGAAAAATTTTAAATCGAACGAACAATTATAAATTCGGAACATTGAAAAATTGCAAGTCGAAAAATTGAAAAAACAAAATTGTAAAATTGAATAATGAAAAATATAAAGAAAGTAAAAAATCCAAACGAAAAATCGCAAAATCTAAAAATTGAAAAATTCAATAAGTAGTTGGAAAATGTAAACTTGAAAACTCGAAAGAAATAAAAAAAAATAAAAACTGCAAAATCGAAAAATTTAAGTAAGGAACAATCGAGAAATTGTAAAAATAAAAAATCGAAAAATTACAAAATCTAAAAAATGAAACAAAAAAAGAAAAATTGAAAAACGCAAATCGAAAAATTGAAAAAACAAAAAATTATATAATTGAATAATTGAAAAATATGGTGAAAATGAAAATCCAAACGAAAAATAGCAAATTGAAAAATTCAATAGTTGGAAAATTGAAACTTGAAAACTCGAAAAATTACAAATCGAAAAACCGAAGAAACAGAAAAAATAAATAAAAATTGGAGCAATCAAAATTTGAAAAGTTACAAAATTAATAATTGAAAAATCGGAAAACTGAAAAATTTTAAAATGAAAACTCGAAAAGATGCATATCGTAAAATTGAAGAAACAAAAAATTTAAAAAAATGAAATAGAAAGGACAAACAATTATAAAATCGGAACAGAAAAATCGAAAAATTGAGAAAACAAAAAATTATAAAATTGAATAATTGAAAAACAAAGAAAATAAAAAATCCAAACAAAAAATTGCAAATCGAAACATTGAAAACTTGAGAAACTCTAATCTCCAAAAATTGAAAAATCAAAAAATGTAAAAGCGATAAGGCGAAAAATTAGAAAATGAAAAAATGTGGACTTTAAAAAATCGAAAAATTGAAGAATCGCGGAACTGAAAAAGCGATAAATCGAAAAATTAAAAAACCGAAAAATCTATAAACAAGTAGGCGAAAATTGAAACATCAAAAAAGTGAAAAATATAAAATTTAAAAATTCGAATAATTAAAAAATCGAAATGGCCCAAAATTGATGAATCGAAAAAGTGAAAGATCGAAATCCCGAGAAATCGAAAAATTTTAAAAATCGGTAAATCGTAAAGCCGAAAAATCTATTAAAAAGTGAAAACCAAAAAATTTAAAAGTGAAAGCTGAAAAATTGGAAAGTGAAAAACCAAAAAATAAAAAAATCCAAAAATTGAAAAATTTCGCATTGGAAAAAAAAAATTAGAAAATAGCAAACCGAAACGACAAATTGTAATATCTCAAAATTCCATAAAAAACCGAAACCAAAAATTGTAAATTGAAAATGTGAGGAAATGAAAAAACCCAAACGAAAAATTACAAAATCTAAAAATTGAAAAATTCAGAAGTTGGAAAATTGAAAAACTGAAAAATTTAAACTTGGAAACAAATCGAAAAACCGAAGAAACAAAAAAAAACAAGAAATTGAAGAAATGAAAATTTGAAAAGTCGCAAAATTAATAATTGAAATCTAATGAAATTTCAAAATTAAAAATTCATATCATAAAATTGAAGAAACAAAAAAAAATTAAAAACTTCAAAATCGAAAAATTTAAGTAAAGAACAATCGAAAAATTGTAAAAATAAAGAATCGAAAAATTACAAAATCTGAAAAATGAAACAAAAAAAAAGAAAAATTGATACATTACAAATAATCTAAAAATTGAAATATTTAAACTTGAAAACTTGAAAAATTACACCGAAAAACCGAGGAAACAAAAAAATAAAAAACTGAAGAAATGAAAACTTGAAAAGTCGCAAAATTAATATAATTGAAAATTTTTGAAATTCCAACTCGAAAAATTGCAAGGTCTAAAAATTGAAACATCCAAAAGTCATCGGAAAATTGAAAAACTGCAAAATCGAAAAATTTAACAAACGAAAAATTGAAGAAATTGCAATAGAAAGAAACAACAATTATAAAATCGGAATAAAAAATAAATAAAAATTGGAGCAATCAAAATTTGAAAAGTTACAAAATTAATAATTGAAAACTCAAGAAATTTCAAATCCAAAAACTGCAAAATCTAAAAATTGGAAAATCGAAAAACTGAAAAATTTAAAAATGAAAACTCGAAAAGATGCATATCGTAAAATCGAAGAAACAAAAAATTGAAAAAAATTAAATAGAAAGAACAAACAATTATAAAATCGGAATAGAAAAATCGAAAAATTGAGATAACAAAAAATTATAAAATTGAATAATTAAAAAATATAAAGAAAGTAAAAAATCTAAACGAAAAATCGCAAAATTTAAAAACTGAAAAATTCTATAAGTACATACGTAGTTGAAAAATTGAAAATCTGGAAAATTTAAATTTGAAAACTCGAAAGAAACAAAAAAAATTAAAAACTTCAAAATCGACACATTTAAGTAACGAACAATCGAGAAATTGTAAAAATTGAAAATAAAAATCGAAAAATTACAAAATCTGAAAAATGAAACAAAAAAAAATAGAAAAATTGAAACATTACAAATAATCTAAAAATTGACAAATTTAAGCTTGAAA